GGAAAGGGGGGGAGAAGGGGTCTGTGCCCGTTGGGGGGGGGGGGGGGGGGCGCTGTGTGTGTCTCACCTGTCTGGAGGCTGCCTCCTCTATGTATGTGAATCATTCTTTAAAAATTGACATTGACTAACAATACACTAATACACATAACAGACTCAAAGAAAATTGTTAGAGACTTTCTAAATTTGCTTTATATTGAGTAGCAGGTACGAAGGCATGAAAACATGTGGCAGATAACATTTTGAAAATGGAAAGAGATAACGTAAATGAAAGGCTCAATTTCATCTCATCTGCCCAACATAATTACCTCTTAGCTGTGTGCTTTCAGTAAGTAAAATAAATAGAGCACAAACAAATGACACATAACTACAAACAGTCTGATATCTATTATCTGAATATCTGAGAAATATCTTTTAGAGATTCTTAAAGGTGTGTTTTAGAAATCAGAGTCTAGGGCTTACCCTAAACTAATAGCATGAATTCTGTGCACATTACTGATTGCTTGGTTGAACCATGCTAAGGTTGTATAAAAGCACTTTAAATATTCTGGTTGATAGTGCTGTCTCTTCTCTTGTCCAAACAGAGATACCCATATACAGTCATGTATTGTTTATGTTGCTATTAAAAATACCTTTGTATTCAAATGATTGCATTTGTGATTTTCTAACACTAGAAAAAATGTCAAATTATGTGTAACTACTATACTATAAGTTTAAATTACACATTATGTGCACTTATAGAATTCAGAACTATGCACACAAAAACATGATTTTAATATAGTACAATTTCTTACAGTTAAAACAAAAATCTATGTAATCTGTTTCAATAAACATTAGCCAAATTTCAAATATGAACTTGAAGCACAATTAAAAGCTTTTAACCCCTTTGTGACGGGAGACATACACTGTACGTCCAGCCAATGTCAAGTATAGGCATAGGTGAGGGTAAAGTATGCCTAAATACTTTACCTCTAAAGCAAAAGTATTATGCATACAGTATTTACAAATTGTCTGTCAAACTTTGGCTTCTAATATTTAGATTGGAAACAACACAATAAAATAACTCACACTAGAGGTTGTTTGTGCCATGGTTTTATTATTCACTGAATCAGGAAGCGCTTATTGATCTATCACATCATAAAATGTTTTTTGCCTGTCAATGGCATTGATACAATTAAGATAAATGTTGAATAAATGCTTTTAAATGGAATCTATTGCTGAGAATATAATCCTTGGACCTTTAGCAGTTCACCAATAAAAGTGACATAGTCCTGCTGAATCTATTAGTGTCTGGATTAATAAAATAAAAAAGCTTCCTCTGAAAGCACGTCAAATGATTATCCGCAGCATCGAGACACACAGCACTGTAGCAAGAGAACATTTCTAGGCAGCTTTTAGCTACGGAATCAGATATTAAAATAAAAGGAGCTAGAACTGCTAATTTTTCATAACTGATTACCCATCAAAGGCAATGTATACACCAAAAAAAGCAATGTATACACTGTTTTAGAGCATTGCTATGTGGCTCCATACGTCACAAAATAAAAAGTATTGTTTTCAATGTTCCTTTAACAGGGCATTTTTACTCTTGTTAAAGGTATTCTTCTTTCTGTAGCATGTTCTAAATTCAATGTGGTTCCTATAGTGCATGGTGTTGTATAGTGCCACTACTTGGAGTTGTGGCTACTTTACAACATATACAGGGACCATAGGGAACAAAAGTATCCGCCCTCCAGAAGGAAGGACAGTGTCAGCACCAATTCAGAGATGTTTTGAGGATGAACAGCTAAGTGATACACAAATAAGATACATGTTTGTTAATAGTTAAGGTACTTGAATGTATTTTCAAGTTTTAACTCCTGAGTTTATTGTCACGTTATCTAAGTGAATGTGGTAAAGCTGTGCTGACCTCCATCATCCAATCATGTGCAAGTAAACATACAGGTTTTTTTTTTAATTTTACTTCCATGTGATTGGATATTCTTTGCAAAGTAGATCCTTTTTTAATTAATTCCTCTAATATTTAACAGGCTGCCACGCTGGGCCTGCCAGAGAAAACAAGGTTTTCAAAAGAATCCTTAAAATGTTTATCTAGTGGATCCTTAGACAGCGGTGCATCCTCTACAGGAATTGTCAAAACCATATTAGGATGTGACACTGTCAGATCAATGTAAAAAAAGGCATTCTTGAAGCCTTTGGGCCTTTAAGAGATCTCATACCGGTAACAGACTAGTAGAACTACAGGCTGTTCTTCTATTTTTAAGGTGACACACACGGCATCATCAAGAGCCAGAACAATCTCTCTAAGCCTGCGAGATATGGCACATGTGACTACATAGTTACATAATTAATCAGGTTGAAAAAAGACACAAGTCCATCGAGTTCAACCTATAGAAACCCATATACATGTGACGACAATTTAATCCAGGAAGGATTCTAGAGACTCTGTCAGATAGAACCTCTGCAGCAGAAGTCTCAGAAGCAGCTGAAGCTGCAGGCAGAGCTGTTAATGAAAAAAATATACACCGTGCTAATATAAAATTAAACTGCTAACTCTAAGCTGCTGTGCTAACTAGTGACTATTCACGACAAAACAACTGTATAACCAATGCACTGCGCTGGATACAATCTACAATGTGTTATTAGGTGAGTATAATAGGGCATACATACACTTAAAAACATACATATAATAATAATGTTATACATGTACACTTCATTGAGAGGAATGCACAGTAGATTTTGCACAATAATTTACACATTTTTCACTTATGAAATTGTGTATACAATTATTATTATATGTATGATTTTAGGTATATGTATGCACTATTATACTCACCAAATATTAACACATTGTAGGTTGTATCAAGCTCATTGCATTGGTTATACAGATCTGATTTAGTAGAGAAAAAAGCTGAGGTACAGTTATAGCCTCTGCAGTTAGAGTTGCAATGTAGCCTATTAAATCCTGTATAGCTGCAATAAAATCCTCCCAGGATAAGGCCAAGGAGGGGGCCACATCCGACAAAGCTAAGGAAGACTGCAAGAAATGTAGGGACCCAAGCAAGGGACAAAGTTTGAGGTTGTCAGTATCAGGCACTTCAGAGGGAGCACTGCAGTCCTTCTCAGAACTGTTAGCTGATTGTGAGCTGGAGGGACCCAGTACAGTGGGACTGCACCCCTTCGGTTTAGGGTCTGACATGTTGCACTGCTTGGTAGGGACAACTTTATTCAGAATACTAGGTTAAACCTTAGTAACCCACAAACCAGCTGCAAAGAGTAGGATAGGTTCAAGTGGTTGGAGGTGAGCAGATCACTGTAGGAGGAAGAAAGGACTAACAGAGGTGGAACTCCATGTCTTTTGCATTTAGGAGCAATGGTGAGTAGGTACTACCACACGCTGAATGTTGGAAACAGAACGTGGACTGGGCAGGCTTAGTACTTCAGCAAGTTAGGCAGGTTCTAATAGAATAAATAGCTCCAAATGCTCAGCCCATGTGGCCTACTCATAAACTAACACTTCAGAGACAAGGTCATACCCAAATTGTCTAGTCCAGCTGAGTTTAGGTATGACCTCCAAAAGCTATTGCTGAGAATATCCAGGGAGATAAATAAAGAGACTAGTTCAAGCAGCAAGTCTTGACTGAAGAAAAAAATATTCTGAAAAAAAAAGAATGGCTAGTTAAAAAGTTTAAACTTTTCTCAGTAGAGAAAAGATATCCATCCTCCTAGCACACTAGCAAAAATCTGAGGCATGCTAGGGATGGGATGGGAGGGGTTATACCAGGTTAGTCTCTCTTATTTTACCAGTGTCCATATACTCCAGAAGGCGGCAGTATAAAAATTCTCTAAATCCTGTGTCCCTCAATGAAGAAGACAGAAATACATTTAATGACATATTAATGATTACAGAGCTGCTTTCATTTGTGCCTTTTACATCTGCCTGGAGTTCAGCTTTATTGTAATGTGAAAGTCATCATTACTCTTTGCACAGTTCTATGGACTATGCCCAAAAGGGCTTGCCAGCAGCCATAATAATCTGCAATCTATTTAAGATTTTTATCTCAGCAGCCAGTGGCATATTTCCTACTGCAGTTTGTCGAGTTTTGAAGCCTAGCATAGCCATGTGTGCCTTAAGCTCAGGAATAAAAACAGACTATTATTCAATTTGGGATAATTGGAGCTTATGTGAATACATCAAATTTAAATTAAGAAGAATGTCACTTACCTAAGTAGTTGTTGCTTTTTGCCATCTCTGTAACATTGATTTTCGTGGCCCCTTCAGGGATTTCCAGTACTTTATGATAGCCAACTTTTGTTAAAATATGCTTAAAGACTCCTGATACAACTTTACATGCTGTATTATCTCCTCCACAAACTCCACACTTGTCAACCACTTTGTCTGATCCCAGGAAGTCATCACAGCCAATTATCTGTAAAGAAAAATATATAAATATATATATGTGCCTGTGAATTGAAAGCCCATTTTAAATGTTATAGATGTACAAATTAATAAGAATATCAATGCACGGAAACACAATTTCCTGTATCAATTGTTCAAGAACAAGAAAATATAATTAAAAGTTGAATCAAGCCATTTTTATTAGCCATGCACAGGATAGGGAAAGGTTGCAACTTCTGTCTGGTTTTTCAAAATACTCTGTTGCGTCACCCATTCAGGGTACAAGTAACAGATTCTCGTGTAAGAACAACCATCCACACATACTGTAGATGATTACCTTCCCCATGCTCCTGGGAGTCAGGTGTCCACACTCTTTGTAACCTGTCCGATGGTTTTGGAGTTTACACAGGCTGAACTTTTGCCTCCCCCAATCATGTGGCAGTGGTGATTGGCCACTTAGATGCAAGCACTGCCTCCAGGAAAGAGGTCACATGCTCCTTTATACCTGGAAGGATTGGGTGATTACAAACAGACCAATGGATCGTCAGGATAGAGCAGCAGCAGTGAATAACAGCAGGTGGGGTGGTATGTCCCCATGGGAAACATTACACAATAGTTCCTACGGGGTAACCGGGATAGGGAAGCAAGTGGTTTAAACTCTTTCCAGCTCTACCCAAAACTAAAGTTTTTTTAACCATCTTAACCTTTTACTTGGTTTTAGTTTCTCAAAGGAAAATGTCACCAAGTAATATTGGAGAATATGACATTTAGGGATGCGCCGATACTGTTATTTCGGTATCAAGTACGATTAGCGATATTTTATTTTAATTACTTGCAGATACCAAATACCAAGTGCCATAAGTGCCATTCAGGAAGCCAAGCGGCGTGTAATGACTCACCACCTGGCTTCCTGATTAGCCGGGAAGCCGTCCCTAGGTGACGAGAAAGCATGGAGCCAGCTTTCTGGCCAATCAGAAAGCCGCCTCCATGCTCCCTTGTCATAAGATGATGAGGGAGCATGAAGCCTGCTTCCCGACCAATCAGAAAGCCGGGCGCCGCGTCATTACACGCCGCCTGGCTTCTTGATTGGCCAGCTTAAGACCAATCAGGAAGCCGGGCAGCACGTCATTACACACTGCCTGGCTTCCTGATTGGCCGGGAAGCTGGCTCCATCCTCTCTCATCACAAGTGACGAGAGCATGGAGTGGCTTCCTGGCCAATCAGGAAGCCGGGCAGCATGTAATGACGCGCTGCGCGGCTTCCAGATACCAGATGTATCGGGCTAGGCATCAGAGCATTTGGGTGAGTATGAGTACTCACCCAAATACTCTGCATTGGCACCGATACTAGTATAGGTGCATCCCTACTGAAATTAAACAAATGTGATACTAGTGAGCGCCGAATATGCAGGGCGATTGCTTTTCCCTTCATGGGCAAAGTTTACACTATATATCCTGCAATTGCTACATTTTAGTTTTTGTGTTTACTAGTAGCAGTACATTGCATTGAAGTAATACAAAGGAAATGCATCTCTACCTAATTCTGAAATCATGTGATATCCTCTTTAATTAATTTAGCATTAATGGTATATTGAGGACACTGTTTCCTCTGGATCTCTTGATAATGACAAGTAAGAGCAGAAAAGGATGGCGATTAGAAGCATGAGAAAGGCATCTCCAGCAGCTGTATGCTTACAAATGAATACAGCTATTGTCCTGGGTAACGTCAATGATTCTTCACATCAGTTGTTAAGAATCGCCAAGGTATTTGCAAAGGCAAATGCACCCAATTAGCTGTGAAAAAGATACCGGCCTTATTAGACGCACAGTCAAATTAAAAGTTAAAAAGAGAGAACTCTTTGACTTGCATTCAAGGTGAAGAAAACACTCAGCTCATCTAGCTGTTTATCCCATATGGTATTCAAATCTCCCAATCACGATACAGGAACATTAGAGTATTGCCCTACCATTATACTGCTTCTTAAACTACTGAAGATAAAGAGAGAAGTAATATATCTATATATTCCTGGTAATAACAATGAAACGTAATGTTTTAATTAATGAACACAAAGAAGCCTTGTGGGTTTAATGTCAGATTAACTACCATAAGTTAGCTAGTTACTGACTGCACAACAAACATGACGCCTCCCTCTTGAGTACTATAAGAAAACACTTAGTTTAAGCGTAATATGCATTGCATTAAAACTTAGGGCACTTTAAATTACCAATGCTTATCATTGCTGTAGAATCTTAAAAAGCTCAAAGACTTTAATCAGTGTAATAAACGTTGTACAGTAAGCATTTGGCAATAACCAGTCATTTTTCCGCAGTATACCAAAAAATTTAGCAATATGAAGCTGGCCTTACAGGTAAACCAGTTTAATTTAAAGATCCTTCTAAATAACAATGTATATGTAACCATATAACTGAATGACAATTATTTTACTTAAAGGAAAACTGCAGTTTTTTAAAGCAGCAGCTTCACTGTTACCCCAGCCACTGTAGGTATTAAACCCTTCCAGTTAGATTCATTATCTGCCCACCACAACCACCACCACACACATTGGTTACCTTCACAGTTTTGCAAGTGTAGTGTCCTCAAGCCAGTGGGAGGAACCACTGAGTGCAGCAGGAGAAGCAGGTATTCACACACTTGGAAGTGTGGAATACCTGCAGAGACTAGGGAGTAGTAAATTAATGATGTTTCAAAACATGGGCCACCAGTGAGATCAGTATGCATGGTCTTTTTTTTACAGGTCTCTTTCTACAGGGCTGTGATGACAGGGTAATTTTAAACAATGTCTACCATAAACAATTGCCAGGTTTTTATTTTTAAACTAAATATTGTTTTCTTATTTTGTAACCTTTGCTGCATATTAGAACTGCTGCTCTCCTGCAGCCTCTTTGTAGCCTCTACTCTACATGCATAAACTCCAGCAACTGCTGCACATCATTTGGGTTTCCTAATGGTGACAACAGTAGTGTGTCAGCATAGCCGCTTGTAGCCACCACTGGAGAGTGTATGGCAAAGAAAGAATGTTGCCAGGAGAATATTTTAGAGAAAGGGACAAAGCATTGTCACCCGATAACAGGAAATGCCTGTGCGAGGACCTTCATTGCATGATCCTCAAATATTATTTAAATGAAAGCTGCAGATTTAAAATACTGAAAATGCCATTTAAAATGATATTAACATGTTAAAGTTTATGAGATTTTAGTAAATTGGTTTACAAACTTAAACAATGGCTTACTGCCATTGTCTCTCAACATAGCTCTATAGGCCAGGTCCCAGTGAAAATAAAACAGTACATTTTAAGGCTAATTCAGTATATCTCAGCAGTCATTAAGAGAATGTTTATCTCACAGTAATACACCGACCATCACTGCTGACTCCAGATTCTAAAAGTCAGAATGTTATTTTTTTGCATTCTGCAATACGGTATATAAATTGGTTCCAAATTCAGTGCCAAATAACAGGATCCAATAAAAATATTTAACGCTCCAAGATTTTAATATGCTATCCAATAAATACGCCCCGAGTGCATGTCTTGTGTTCTGTGGCAGATGCATATCTGTCTGGTTATTTTGAGACAAGAGTTTATTAGCTAACGGGGATGGACTGTTGTCTTTTCCTTTTCTGTTTTGGGAATGAACAAAGCAATAAGACAGGATCAAACCTCAATGTGTATCCCTTGCCACCATTGCATCTTCATGTGTGCATCACAATACTTCCAAGTGTCCCTCTGTGTGCCTCTGTAGGTGTCCACAGTTTTTTGATTAAGCTGCAATCCTCCACCTGTGCCCTGATATAGCTGCCAAAGACTCTGCACAGTACTGTACATACTGTTGTATTCTAGTCACTTGCAGTTGTATAGCGTTCCCCTGCGTATCCTTAAGTATACACTAGGTGGCACTGTTGTTTCAATGGCAGTCACGTCACCGGCCGAAAAGTTTTTTTTTTTAAATGGCGCAAACAGAGTCGGTGAAAAACGAGGGCTACCTGTATGGAATGTGTATATTCCACAACTATACTCTAAGAAAAACATTAGGGCTGGTACTGATTAACATTTTCGGGTTCGATTAATCGACTTTAATATACAGGTATTCCTCACTTAACGACCGAGTTCCGTTCCTACGACCAGGTCGTTAAACGGATTGGTCGTTAAGTGAGGAACTCTATACAGTACTGTACTGCATTAGGACAGTACTGTATAGCGTTGCCGACGTACAGTACCGAACAGTGTACTGTACATCCGGCAATGGAAATACTTACCGAGACCTGCAGTGAAGATCGGGGGATGTCACTTCCGCCGGCGACCCGTCGCACTGACGCGCGAGGTCGGAGGTCGATCGGCGGTCCGTCGTAAGTGCGAGTGGTCGCAAAACAGGTAAGTCGGTAAGTGAGGAACATCTGTATATATATATACTGAGTGGCCAGATTATTATGACCACCTGACGTTTGCAGGCAAATTAGCTATAACTAGCTATAATTTTGCGCAGAAGTTGCTAGAGGGCCAAACCATTATAAATAGGGAAGCGGTTTGCTTACCACGACAGTAGAAGTGATTTTTTTCGGAAGATATGGGTAAACAACGTCATTTAACAGCCTTTGAATGTGGGATGATTGTTGGCACTTGGAGCCATGGAGCGAGTATCAGCAAAACAGCAGAATTTGTTAAATGTTCAAGAGCAGCTGTTGTTAAAGTGTTTAAAGACTGGACTGTCAGCCGAAAATCTGGGTCTGAACGTGCGAATTGTGGCCGCCAGCGACTAGTCAATGTTAGGGCAGAACAGAGAGTGGCAAGACTGGTACAAGACAACAGAAGGGCAACAGTGCAGTGTCAGATTCCTCGCATCACCTTTCAACATCTCGTGGAGTCACGAGGCGGCCCAACAAAGTCATCTTGTGGAGTCATCTCGTGGCCCAACGAAGTACTGATGGGGTGGTCATAATAATCTGGCCACTCAGTGTATATTCAACTAGTCAATGGAGCTCAGTCCATCTTTTTCAAGCTCCTTTGAAACATTGACA